GGGCGAGAACGGCCTCGACCTCGGCGACTACTCCTCCTCGAGCAAGGCCCTGCTCTTTCCCGCCCGCCAGCTGATTGGGGCGTGGGGTGAGGGGGCAGGTCACTCTTGGAATCAACGGCTGCCTCCTCCTGCTGTAGGTGCGAGCTGCGCCTTCTATTCACACCTTCTGTTCACACCTTCTATTCACGGCAGGTCACCTCATGCTGTAGGTCCTCTTCCCTCCGCGCCCTCCGCCGGCAACCCCTCCCCCTCCCTCCTTGCCGCCGCCGTCGCTGCCGCCACCTTCCCCGCCGCCGCCCTCGCCGCCACCCGGCTTGCCACCGGCGCCGCCGCCCCCTTCCCGCCGCCCGCCCGCCACTCCGCCAATCCCCCAGAGCCCGCCCTACTTGCCGCCGCCCTCGCCACCAGCCACGCCGCCGTCCTCGCCGCCGCCGCTCCAACCTCCGCCGTCGCCTCCGCCCTCGCCGCCGCCGCCGTCGCCTCCGCCGTCGCCTCCGCCGTCGCCGCCGCCGCTTCCACCTCCGCCCTCGCCTCCGCCCTCGCCGCCGCCGCCTCCGTCGCTTCCGCCGTCGCCGCCACCGCCCACCTCTCCGCCCTCGCCGCCCTCGCCGCCGCCTCCCTCGCCTCCGCCGCCGTCGCCTCCCTCACCGCCGGCGTCGCCACCGCTACCGCCCTCGCCGCCGCCTCCCAGCCCGCCGCCCCCGAGCCCTCCGCCGCCAAGTCCGCCGCCGCCAAGCCCGCCGCCTCTGTCGCCTCCGTCCCCACGTCCGCCGCCGCCGTCGCCACCGCCTCCATCCCCGCCCCCACCTGTCACACCGCCGCCGGCAACGCCTCCTCCTGTCACGCCGCCGTCCTCGCCGCCGCCTTCGCCGCCGTCCTCGCCCCCGCTGCCGCCCCCCCCCGTTTCGCCCCCGCCGCCTCCGGAGCCCGCCTTCTTGGCGACGGTCGAGGACTCCGAGGTCGCCGCGATCGTCGGCGCCACCGTCGGCGGCGTGGTGGTGCTGCTCTGCCTAGGCGCTTTGCTCTTCTTTGCGCAGCGGAGGCGGCAGCGCAAGCGCGCCGGCGCGGGGCAGACGGTGGCTCGTGGGGCAGTGGCTCGTGGGGCCGACTCCTGGTCCGCGGTGCGCGGTGCCGTGGCGGGCAGGCAGCCACTCACGGCTGGCCGAGACCCGGCGACGGGGAAGAGGAACCTCTCGCGCTCAACCGAGGAGTGGAGGGCGGAGTCGGACTCGGGCGGGTCGCGCGGGCAGCGGAGCGGCTCGAGGAGCGACGAGGAGGTTGTGGCGCCGAGGAAGCTCGCCGGGCCACCTGCACGGAGCCCTCTCGGAGCCTTCTCGGAACCTTCTAGGCAGCGCTGAGGAGGCACTCCTCCATCCCCGAGTCCGAGTGGGACAAGTTCACGCCCTCTCTCGCGGGGGCGCCGCGCGAGAAAAAGAAATGCGCGCGGCCAAGAGGCAGCTGTGAATAGGTTCACCCTCATCCCGTGGGAGCGCTGCTCGCTCGGCGCCTGCGCCGACCGGCCCCACCACTCTTGCAAGCAAGAGAGCGACGCAGAGCCAAGGCTTGCCACTCGCCGTCTCATTAGGCGGTTTCATCGGCTCCGGCACTTCGGGGGACGTCTACTCGGCGACGTACGCCTCGACGCAGGCGGGGGGGCTGGTTAATGAACTCATCCATTCATTCATTCATTCATGACTCGGCGACGTACGCCTCGACGCAGGCGGGGGGCTGGTAGCACGGCACACGTGGTGGGCAGGGGGTGGGGTGGGGTGTGGGGGGGGGGGGGGCTGGTACCACGGCGCTGTCCGCAGCGCGCACCTCTGGAGGAGTGTGGCGGTGTGGCGGTCTCATGGCGGTCTCATGGCGGTCTCATGGCGGTCTCTTGGGGGTCTCATGGACCCGGGGGCGGCTCTCTCTCGGGCCACCTGGGAAACTGCCGTTGCACACCACACCGGCGCGGGCGAGGTTGAGCTGCCCTTCACGCGCTCCAAGAGTGGCGCTCACTGTGGGGGGAGGGTCCCCCCCCCCACCCCCACCCCCCCACCGCAAGGCACTGCGATACTCACTTAGCATCGCCAAACCGTCTCGATACGACACACGCACGCCCCGCGTACCGATGACGCGATCGGCTGGCGACCCGTGGAACCACCTCGCCTTCCTCCACAGGTGGCGTGCAAGCTCCTGCGCAAGCGCAACATCAACAGCCGCGACATGCAGCTGCTGGTCGAGGAGTGCGAGCTGGGGCTGCGGCTCCGCCACCCAAACGTGCGCCGCTCCTGACCGGCTTCGCCGCCGTCGGGCAGCGACACCTAGCCTCGGCTGATCTCGGCCGTATCTCGCGAGCAGGTGCTGCTGATGATTGGCCTGACGTCGGACCGAGCGATGAACCACGGTGTACCTCCCTCCACCGAGCGCTCGACCTCTCTAGTCTCCGATCACAGAGCCACCCGCGGACCAAGTCTTGAGTCGAGAAGCACTCACAGGCATCCTTGTGAGCTTGTGTGTGTGTGTGTGTGTGCCGCTCCAGCGTGCCGTCCTCTTCTGTCCCGCGTCCCCACCCAGACCGCGCATGTGTCCAGTCCGAGCCTGTGGCTGGCTGCTCTTCACCTTCCTAACTGGCTGACCGACTAACGATAGGCATCCTCACCGAGCTCCTCGACCTCTCCCTCGCCGAGCTCATCGAGCGCCGCTCGGCGCCGGCGGCGTCGACATGGGACTTCCCCTTCGCCTCCATCTCACTCGACATCTCGCGCGGCGCATACCCCCCCCCCCCCCCGCCCCCGAGCTGTCGGCCAAAAACGAAATCGCGGTGCCATCCTGCTGAATGCGTGATCGACTAGGTATGGACTACCTCCATGAGCACGGCGTGCTGCACCGCGACCTCAAGCCGGGCAACGACGACTCTGCTCGGGGCCGGCCCCGTCCGCCGCGGACATGGCCCGACACGTCCCACGGAACACGGCCGGTAGGCAACGTGCTGCTCAAGCGGCCGCAGATGACGGCCAAGGTGGCCGACTTTGGGTCTTCGCGCGACGTCCTGCCCGGGGGCCCGGCCGGCCTCACCGAGGCGACGGCGATGACGATGACGATGGCGGGCACGCCACTCTACATGGCGCCTGAGGTGCGCCGCGAGGCAGAGGGGCGGCGAGAGCGGCGAGAGATGGCCGAGAGTGGCCACCAGAGGAGCCGAGAGGAGCCGAGAGGAGCCGAGGGAAGGCCGAGAGGAGCCGAAAGGAGGCCGAGAGGAGGCCGGGAGCAGTCGAGCGGAGCCGGGAGGAGCGGAGAGGAGCCGAGAGGAGCCGGGTGGAGCGGAGAGGAGCGGAGAGGGGGGCGGAGAGGAGCCGGGAGGAGCCGAGGACACGCGGCTCCATATGGCTCCCGAATGTTGCTCGAGAAATATGCCCACCGGGGGCCGAAGAGCGTTTGCGAGCCGTGCACAGCCCCCCCCCCCCCCCCCCCCCCGGCTCTGGTGAGCAGGTGATGCGGCAGGACCGGTACGGCAAGCCGGCCGACGTCTGGTCCTTTGGCGGCGTGCTCGTCCACATTGCCACCGGGCAGCCGCCGCTCTCTCACTTGCTCGCCGCTCTGACGCCGGCGCGATGCCGGCGCACGGCGTCGCGAGCTCTGACCTTCCGTCCCCCTCACCGCCCGTCGGGCCCCCTCCGAATTAGGTGGCGCTCATGCACGGCGTCGCCGAGGGCGACTGCTCGCCCACCACGGGCATCGACGAGCTCGCCACATGGCCGGACGAGATCCGCCACTTGGCGGAGGCGAGCTGCGCTCCTCTGTCGCTAGTGGCCCGGGCGTGCATTCTCTCTCTCTCCAGCGAGGCCCGGTCGTCACCAAGACTGCCAACTGCTAGGCGTGCTGCTCTCCGCGCCAGCACCTGCGGCCCACGTTTGCGCAGATCGCCGGGGCCTTGGCTGAAGTCTCTGCTCGCCGGCGATCCTCGCAAGGCCCCTGCGCAAGGCTGGGCTCTCGGCAGAGCACCGTTGGGTCGGATCTCTCGAGGAGCGAGCAGGTCGATGTTGCTCCTCCCAGCTATGCGGAGACCGGAAGTAGCGCCGAGGGATCTGCACGTCCCTCTGGGCGACTGTCGGAAATGGTCGGAAAGTTCGTCGGAAATTTGTTCAGCTCCAGGGTGTGATCGAGTTATGTACGTGCATGCGCATTAGTGCCTCTCGCACGGGCACAGACTGCGAGAGGCATCACAACCTGGAAAGCCGTACTCAGCAGCTTGAGCACAATCAGAATCACGATCTCACCCATGATCTCAAAGTTTACTTACACATACGACAACGACACACTGTGTTCTCAGTGCGTACTGTACGGCTCTACCATACGCACCTTTACGCTTTAGCGTGGTCCACTAGCAGATCATTCTGTTTGTAGGATGGAGCTCATAGCAACGAGCGACCTTTGTTTGGGTTTGCCCAGCCGCGCAGCCGAGCGAGAAACTCGGCCTCTGCGCTCTGGCCGCCGACAGCGTCTACCACTCGGCTCTCGGGGTCTGGCGGGGCGTGCTTGGCGGCGGGCACCGCCGCGACACTGTCACCGAGCGCGGGGTGCGCGTCAGGAAGGCGTGGAGCAGCTTGGAGAGGTCCTCCGCGCTAGGCTCGCGTGCGACTAGGTCCAGCCCTGGGTGGCGCAAGATCTGAGGTTTTGTGACAATCCTCAGATCCGTGTTTTTCTCGTTGTTTTGTCGCTCGCTCCGCTCGCCACCTCACGCTCCGTAGCCCGGCCATGGCCAGTACCCCGCGTCTCAGTGAGACGCGTGGTATCATCCAACTCCGGTCGACGGGCTCGAATGCGCTCAGCCTCAGGAGGGACAAAACCGCGCGAATTCTGCACGCCTCGCTGCACCGCTGGCTTGACTGAATCAGGCAGCAGCAGGCTGCTGCTGCTGCCACAGCAGCAGTCTGCTGCGGCCCTAATACGCAAGTTGATGACTAGCAGCACTGCCGGGGGCATTCGAGCCGCCACAGCCGGTGTGCGGCTGTGCACTGCCACCTGCCCGCGGCTACGCACAATGTGCGCTCGCATTGGATGAGCCCTGCTGATGGACCTGCATCGCCTAGCTGCACGAGAGCAATACCGCAGGCAGTGGCCGTGGCATACACTGCGAGCACACTTGGTGCAGCTGCGAGGTGCAGCAAGAGCACGTCGTTCCTGCCTCTGATGCCACTCTCGCGGCTTGCAGCGCGTCACTCGCGCATGCTCTCCAGGAGCTATGGCGGGCGCGTGTGTGGGGCTGTAGCCTGTGTTTGGCCGGTTCTGACCCGTTTACTATCAGTATCATGTCCGGGCCACAAAAAATCGCACACGGGTAGCGGCTCAGGGGCCCAGTAAGTCGCGGAATCGCCAAATGTCACAACCTGCGCCACCCAGGGCTGGACCTAGTCGTGCGATGAGGGCCTCGGCCTCGGCGTACAGGCCGATGCGGTCGAGGAAGGCGAGGAGTGTGCACTTGTTGCCGGCGTTCATCGCACATTCAGTTGACGCTGCTGATGCGCGCGTATCTTAGCTAAGGTACGCGGCCACACGCGCTGGCGCGCACGGCAACCGGGACTTACACGCGCGACACGAGGGACTGTGTATCCTTGGCTGCCTCGTGGGAGAAAAGTGTCATTCTGTGCCGGCGCGTATCTTAGCCAAGATACGCGGCCACACGTGCAGACGCGTATAGCGGTACTCGCGCCCACACGTGCAGCCGCCTATCTTGGCCAACATATGCGGGCGTGAGCGCGTGAACGGCCCGTCGGCGAGGCGACTCGCGCTGGCATGCACAGAGGGATGTTGACATACGCGGCTACGCGTTGTGGCTTGTGGGCGCCTATCTAGGGGAACATCGTGCCCCATGCGTACTGTACGGCTCTAAGGGTTCGTAAGGTAAGGTAAACGTCTCCACACACACAAAGTGGTCAGGCAAGGGGGGGCGACCCTCGTATCTCCACGCCCGGACACGGGCAGGAGCCCCACGGCATTCAAAGTGCAAGCACCGGCCCGGTGCCGTGGGTGAGCAACCTGCACCCCACTCCCTCCCTCCCAGACACAGGACCCACACACAACCCCCACAGCGTGGACGTCTACGTGTTCAGAAACACCAAGCAGCGAGGCGAGGGTGAAGGGGCAGAATCTCCATCTGACTACTCCATCTAGCCTGGGGGGTCGCAGGAAGGGGGGGGCAGAAGGGGTAAGATATTGGGTGAGGCCAGCTAGTCGGACACCCTCCCGTCGTCAGAATACTCCTCGGAGCGGTCGGCGTCCTCGTCGTCGTCCTCGCCCGACGCGGAGGTCGGGCGAGAGGTCTGCATCGCCTCGCCAGCCTTGAACCTGAACACGGCGTGGGCCGGCGCCGAGGCGCCGGCGGCCGTCATCAGGTGCATGACCATTTGGCTGCTGGCTTGACTGCTGGCTGGGCGCCGCGGGCTTGGCTGAAGTCTCGTAAGCCGCCCACACCCCTCACTCAGTCGACCTCCTCCACAAATCCCCTCAGGACCCGGGTCTTGAGCGAGGAAATGCGCGAGCTTGGGCTGCTACCCCACGTCCAGCCTCCCATGAGTTGTCAGCAAACGCTCCCGCCCTGCTGCTCTTCCAAGCGGCGCGTCCAGCGTTCGCCAGTACGCGCTTGACGCCTGAGAGCGCTGAGACGTTGCGCGTCGGCGCCTTGCGAGCGGCGAAGCGGCTGTATTTGAAGTCGGTGCTGAATAAGTCCGCCACCTTGTAGTCGTCACCGGAGCCCTCGATCGCGCCTTCGGCTTGCGCCTCAGTCGTGATTTCGTTGGCCAAAATGTGCCGACGTCTCCATGTGTGATTGCGTAAATGGTAACATTGGGGGATCCAAGACAACGCGGGCACTCCGGAGGAGGAAAATAAGGCGGCGAGGGCGGAGAATCGGGAGAGGCTAGGTCGTCAGCGCATTGCAAGCACTCGGAGCATACCTCCGCCGCAAGCAAGCCCTCATCGGAGTCCTCATCACAGAAAGCGTGGTTGGAGATCGCCCAGCCAGCTACGTATGTGTCACAGCCCCCGTAGCCCGGATCAAAGGACTCAGAGTCACCAAGGCATGGTGGCCGTGGGGGCGATGGTGGTGGCGGCGTGAGCGGCGGCGGTGGTGGCGAGACCGTCGGCGGCGGCGGCAACGGCGAGGCTGAGGGAAGCGGCGATGCAGGCAGCGGCGGAGGCGAGGGCGAGGCAGACGGCGGCGGTGGCGACGGCGAGGCGGAGGGAGGCGTCGACGGTGGCGACGGCGGCGGCGGCGAGGGCGGCGGCGGCGAGGGCGGGGGCGGCGCGCATGACAGAGGGCAGTTCTGCCGCAGGTACTTGTATAGCGCGCACAGGTGCGGCGTGCTATACTCGAGGCACCATTCCTCTTCCACAAAGGGTGGCGACGGAGGCACAGACGGCGGTGCCAACGGCGGCAAAGTAGGTGAAGACGCGTCCCCGTCCGAGTCGGGGTCGAGGTAGTCTGGCGTGCCGTCGCTGTCCGTGTCGGTCGTGCCCTCCTCTAGCGGCGTCGCGCCGGGTGGGAACGGCGGCGGCGACGGGGGCGGGCTCGGTGCCTTGCCGGGCGGATAGGGCGGCGGCAGAGGCGGCGGCGTGGGGGCGAGGCCGGGCGGGAAGGGCGGCGACGGCGGCGGCGTGGGCGCCTTGCCGGGCGGGGTGGGTGGCGGCGACGGCGGCGGGGTCGGGGCCTTGCCCGGCGGGAAGGGCGGCGGCGAGGGCGGCGGGCGGGGAGCCTTGCCTGGCGGGAAGGGCGACGGCGAGGGCGGAGGCAGCGGCGTCGCGCCGGGCGGGAAGGGCGGCGGCGACGGGGGCGGCGTCGGTGCCTTGCCGGGCGGATAGGACGGCGGCAGAGGCGGCGGCATGGGGGCGAGGCCGGGCGGGAAGGGCGGCGACGGCGACGGCGTGGACACCTTGCCGGGCGGGGTGGGTGGCGGCGACGGCGCCGGGGTCGGGGGCCTTGCCCGGCGGGAAGGGCGGCGGCGAGGGCGGCGGGCGGGGAGCCTTGCCTGGCGGGAAGGGCGACGGCGAGGGCGGAGGCAGCGGCGTCGCGCCGGGCGGGAAGGGCGGCGGCGACGGGGGCGGCGTCGGTGCCTTGCCGGGCGGATAGGGCGGCGGCAGAGGCGGCGGCGTGGGGGCGAGGCCGGGCGGGAAGGGCGGCGACGGCGGCGGCGTGGGCGCCTTGCCGGGCGGGGTGGGTGGCGGCGACGGCGGCGGGGTCGGGGCCTTGCCCGGCGGGAAGGGCGGCGGCGCCGCAGGCGGCCGGGGAGCCCTGCCTGGCGGGAAGGGCGACGGCGAGGGCGGAGGCAGCGGCGTCGCGCCGGGCGGGAAGGGCGGCGGCGACGGGGGCGGCGTCGGTGCCTTGCCGGGCGGATAGGGCGGCGGCTGAGGCGGCGGCGTGGGGGCGAGGCCGGGCGGGAAGGGCGGCGACGGCGGCGGCGTGGGCGCCTTGCCGGGCGGGGTCGGTGGCGGCGACGGCGGCGGGGTCGGGGCCTTGCCCGGCGGGAAGGGCGGCGGCGAGGGCGGCGGGCGGGGAGCCTTGCCTGGCGGGAAGGGCGACGGCGACCACTCCCTGCTCGCGGCGTCGGCTAGGGCGGCGGGCGGGAATGTCGGGTTGAAGCATCGGGCTTCTGAATCCATGGACTCAGCAAAGGTGACAATGTCGATGCGCCGAACCGACGCCCAGTCAGAGACCTCAGGGCGGTGCCCCTGCTCGAGCCAGCCGTCGCAGTAGCCCTCAAAGTCTTCGCCACTCAAATGGCCAAGCTCTGGCATGCTCTTCACTGCCTCCAGCTCTTCTTGGGTTCGAGTTGACAGGCCTGCAAAACTGACCCCCACCTGCATCGGGCAACACACAGGCACACCCGTACATAGGTCACCACTCGCCCATGTGAGTACATCTCTCGCTTCCTCTCGTGGCGGCTGCGTGCCAGCGCCCTTTCTTGGTGCGAGTGGCTGCCAGTTCGAACCCGGGGGGAGGGGGGGACGCTGTGGGCCCTCTATTTTAGGGCTATCGGAAGAGCTCGAGGGCTCAGCCACCCCGTACACGCCTTTCATCCGCGCGGAATTTAATCACTCGGTACTCGCGCTGACATCGCCCCCGCGCGCCTCGCCCTCCGCTGCGGACGCCCTCGCAGAGGCCCTCGCCTCCTGCTGCTGCTGGGCGC